GGACACTGACATCTGCTAACGTCATGTGAAAGAGAGTTGTTTTCCAGGGAAAAAACTCCTGTGGATTAATTTTGCATGAGTCACGACTGAAAACGATCTGCATGTCTGGACTCAGAGACGATCCACGATGCTGCTGAAGCAGCTTTGCACGACTCTCAGAAAACAACCCCTTCCTCCCCTCAGCTCATCCTCTGTGTGACAAACTTGTTCTCTCTACGCAGAAGTCACTCTGCAGCTTACGTGTGCGTTAGGCGTGTGCTGTAGTTATTTTACATGACTCATCCTCCTCAACAATAAAAGCATGCTTACATATCTTCAAGATAAGGCGCCGAAGATACTGCTGCAGTTCACAGTTCACACACCCGAGTCCTGTGAAGTGCAGCAGTGTGGACTGTAAAGCTGAGCAGGGTGAGGTATGAATCTGAAACCCTAAAGCTGCTTCTGACCTTCAGGCATTAAAAAGCGTTCGCGTTGCGCGATGAAGTGCATGTGTTTCTAAGTGAGCGATAAAGGCTTGCAGTCATACCTTTTTGGAGATGTCGGAGACTTCCTCCTTCAGGCTCTCGACCTGCACGTAGAGGTCCCTGCTGCATGGTTTTTGTGTGATGGCGATGATGTTGACAGAACACAGGAACACAAACACACTCACGAGAGCTGGCCTCTCCCTCTGCATGGCACAGGCGGCAAAACCATCATCTGTGTCACATTATCCTCTGCTGTTGCTGCCCCACAACTCACATCCTCAACAAATCACAGCTGGGAGAAAGCAGACCCTCCGGAGGCTTCCACTCCCCGACCCTCCGACGGGACGCAGATGGCTTAAAGTGTCTTCAGTCCTCTGCTGGACTCCAGCTGAAAACTCAACAGCAGTTGCAGAATGAAGAAAATCCTTTCTCTGGCTCGTTTTCAGGAATCTTTGTTCAAACTTCCAACCTTCACTCCTCCAGTTGTACCTCCCGCTGCTGGGGAAGGCTCCAGCTATCCAAGGAAAAGAGAAATCAATTAAAAGAGGAATGAACATCCAGAAGGACAAGTTTTGGCAGGTGATGTTCCCTTCAGGGGGGAAAAGGTGCGTTATCCGGAGCTGCTGCTCTACACGTGGTTGGAGAGCATGGACTCCCTCTCTTCTGTCCCGTCTCACCCTCCAGTTTTCACTTTCTCACTCCTCCCATTCTTCCTCCTCCTCTGGATTATTTGCATTTTACTTTCAAGTTCCCACCTCTTTTCTCCTGCTGTTTCCTTTGCTCCCAGCAAGCGCGGTTGCAGTGTTTCTTCATCTAAACCCTGCAGGGAACAAAATCTACGCAACACATCCTGGAACTTCTCTGTGTTTGCCAACAGCCTGACTGACTAATCATCAAAACCTGCGAGGGCCATAATTACCTGAGATCAAACATTTTCACTGAAAGTAAAGAGATGGAACCAGTGCCAAAGAACGTGTTATATGGAAACAACAATGGAGCGATCGCAGTGAAGGTCATGGCAGGACTGAAGGCGTCAGAGTTCGGTGCTCGGACTTGAGCGGTTGGTCGTACTTTGGACCAAGACTTGCTTACATCATGAGCTAGAAGTGAGATTATCAGTGTTATGACAACTTCAACACTGACTGCACAGTGCTGAAGGTTAATGAGGTAAATATGTGTGAAGAAATGAAATTTATCAAATATTTCCAAACTCTGCTGCAGGCAGCACACATGGTAATATTAGCAGAAGATCAGCAGCCGTCAAACATGCGATACTGTGAACTTAATCTGTGTGTGATTAAGAGCCTGATCTCAGTGAGCCACAGTTTTATTTTTGTTTGGTTTGGATTAGAGCTGGTATGCACATCGAGGCGGCAGTGCAGCCAAAAAACGACATAAAGCACACAAATGAATGCTCTGTTGGGCTTAACGGTAATGGGTTTCCACGACTACGCTACTGATAAAAACAACAATGAGCTCTCAGAGACGGGCGATGAAAGCTTCTGTGGCTTGTGCGGACTCTCAAACCCACATCTGCTAACAAGAGTCAACTCAAAGCCTATAGTTTCCTCGACTAAGCCCTGGCACATGTCTCGGTGAGGAATTTCTCAGGTTATCAATGGGAGGAAAGGCTCCGGGAAGTAAAAGCAACATAATCTAGGGTGAAAGTTGTGTCTGCTGCAACATAAATGATACCTAATAACGTGCCGTGGAACAGCCTGGAACAAGAGCTCCAACTTCTTGGACACAGAGGATCTGCGTGTAAAGCAGCTGGGATGGCACAACGTTCCACGTCTCTCCCAGAAGTCTCGTGCTGCTTTTTCCAGATGTTTGCTGGTTGTCATTTAAAGGCTTCGTGTTTTAAACTGACACATTTGTGAATCTCTGGTTTCGGTTTTGTTCTTAGGGGCTAAGGGACGGTGTCGGCTGAGGGAACATCTGCAAAATCAGCCTGAGACCAGACAGATGTTCCTCGCTCTTCCACCAGTATCTCATACCCCCCCTCTAATAACACCTGTACAGTTATAACTCACCTGTGTAAGTTTATATTAGTAGGGGTGTGGCCTCTGACGTAACAGACCGCAGCCGCTGGCTGCGGTCTGTTACGCTTCGCCTCAGCTAATTGAGTCCCTGAAGGCTTCAAAATGCCACTTAGAAACTGATGAGTAATGAAAGACATGCTCCAGGAAAGACAGCAATGACGTGGAGCACATCTAGCACATGGACAATGTCCAGCTATATGTAGCGTGTGCTCCTGCTGTCACGGTCCCTGGTGAGGGTTTAGTTCTTGTTCTTCTTCGTTTCCTGTTCATGCTCGTCTCTGAACACCTCGAGTTCACTCGGCTGCGTCTGTCCTGTGACACCTCATCAGTAAACACTAGTGTCCCAATGCCACGGCCCGCCATCACACTGCCTCCACCGGGTCTTACAGATGATGTGTGTGCTTTGGCTCGTGAGTTGTTCTGCGCCTGCTCCATTTTTTATTCTGGTAGAGCTTGATTTTGGTCTCATCTGTCCGAAGAATGTTTTTCCAGGTCTGTGCCGGCTTTTTAAAATGTTTATTAGCAAAGTCCAGTCCAGCCTTTGGATTCGTGAAGTGGCGTGGATATCGATACAGCGTTGTTTGCTTGGTTGGCTGCTGTGATGGGGTTTCTCTTCACCATGGAAACGATTCTGCCATCATATCCCACTGGTGTCTTCTGTGGACGTCCTGGTCTTTCTCCAGTGCATGCTTTCTTTCTCAGGATCAAAGCTGTAGATATCACCCTTCCTAATATTATAGCCATTTCTCAAATGTTTTTTCCTGTTTTCACAGTTTAAGGATTTCTTGTTTCACCTACACGGAGAGCTCCTTTGACCTCATGTTGTCTGTTCACAGCAAAATCATCCAAATTCAAGCACCACAACACAAACAGATAAAGACATAACAAAGGATCTGCCCACACCTGAACACGAAGCAGCCTTTGAGTCATTGTCCAGTTACTTTTGGTCCATTTAAAAAGAGGGCGGCACGTGTTAAGCAGCTGCAACTCTTAACGCCTTCATCCAGTTTAAATTTGGAAACCCTCAAATGAAAGCTGAGAGTCTGCACATCACGTCCATGTTCTAACTATAATTGGAATATGTTTCAACAAACGGGTAAAAACCCAAACTTGTGTCAGTCCAAATATAAACATATATGACCCTGACTGCATGTTTAGACAGAGAACTTCTTCCTTTTTCATAAATATGATCTTGAAATGTTGCCACTGTAAATACTGAAAGGTTCAGATATTCAGGTTCCCTCAGCCTTCCAATGTTTCCTATACTTCACTCTATGATTTAACCTCCTCCAACCGTACATATACTCCTAACTGCCATCATGACCCTAATGTGAAAATGCTTCATCTTATATTTAGTTATATCTGCCATCAGCATTAATTTAACATGTACACAGAAGTTAAAACCAGCTGGATTTCTCCTTAAATCTTAGAAATAAAACGAGCTCTTACCAACAGTCCGGTTGTGAGGACGGCTAATGATGAACTGCGGATCAACAAAGAATGCGTGAGAAGGCATGCGGAAACTGAAGGTCAAAGTTGAATAGAAGCAAAACTGAAACTGCACGGCACTTATCAGAGATCAAATACTTAAAGGAGTAGTGTGCATATCACAGGAGTCGGCTTTAACAAGCAGGCTGAGGACTGCATCAGGTTTAACTGGCTCCTGTAATCCAAGCTTTATACCAGAAAATCAACACGTTCTCACTCCCAAAGCGTAACATTTTACGCTAGGTGACAAATCGTCAACATATTACGTTTTCGGCTACCCACCACGTTCCTAAATGACGACCTCGGAAAAA